TCTCGATGAGGGGCAAAAAACATTCTTTTTTTATATATAAATCAGTGGATAAAAATATGCGTATATTCGAACGGCAAATTTATCTGTTTAAAAGAACACCACTAATATTTCCTGCCAACACATATCGATTTAAATCTTTTATTTCGCTTCCGACACAGAATAGTTTTTGTGAAAAATTACGCAAAAAAGCTGTCAATTTCTTGCTGGTTCATTTTTAGGTATGCCATTGTTACGAATGTCGAAAGTTCGAACATACGATTCGTAACAAAATCCGAATACGAAACAGTTGTAGAATAGGGGTGGTAGTGTTTGGCGGCTTTTGCAAATTTTGAAGTTAAAACAAATATATTCAACAATTTTTATTGAGCTTGAGGCCGTTTTTAATGAAAAATTTATTGTGGAAGAGCAACAATAATTTGAAAAAATTTTAGAAGTGATAGCTATTTCGGAAATCACCACATTTCCTCAACAGACTTCTTTCAGTAGGATTCGAACCGACGATCCCACTAACTCAGCCAGTTGCCAACGCATTCTGCTGAGTTCGCCTTGTGAATTCTTGTTGATTTTTCCACTATTTCATTTGTTAAGCCAACTACAATCAAGCGCAGCTATACCGTTGCAATTCACACTTGATCATGTGGTTGTTGGTTTTGTTGGTTTTTGTTAATATTTCCATTATAGGAATGTTTAACTTTTTATTGGTGTGCTCGTCCTTAAGTTATTTCCCAGCAAAAAATCGCTAATCGCTTTTAGTGGTAACGTGTTCTAGAACGCATAGCGTTATAATGCCTTCGATTTTTTTCGCTTCTTTTAGGCATTGCCGGTAATGCAAAGTAGAATGTCCTACAATATTTTATTTATTTCTCTTCTTTGTTTCATTTCGGGTTATGCAAAGTAGAATGTCCTATAATATTTCTTTTTTAATTCGCTCATTTGCTTCATTTTGGGGAATGCAAAGTAGAATGTCCTACAATATTTTATTTGTTTCGCTTCTTTGCTTCCGTTCAGGGAATGCAAAGTAGAATGTCCTACAATATTTTTTTTTTCGCTCCTTTGCTTCATTTCGGAGAAGAATATAATGAATATGCAAAAATTCTTATCCTACCGTTACTTTCTGTGGAAATTTGTCTCGCATAAAAATCATGTTTTGCTTTGTGCAATTTGCAGCGAAGTTGAAGTCAGTGAATGAAGTGAAGTACAAGAGTGAGGAAGTGCATTTTTAAGCTTAATTAAATATGCATGTATGTTAGGGCGGGTCAATTTTTTCCTAGCAGATTCGTATTCTACATAAAATTCTAAGAAAAAAAGCCCTTTAGACCATTGCTCTAAAATCAATTAATACTAAGTCCATAATCAGATTAATATTTACTAAAGTGTTAGGAATATTTTTTTTTGTAATAAAGAGTTGTGCTCGGGAGTTTTGTGATACGAAAAATTAATTTCTGATATCTATTTTTAATTTAAAGAACCGTAAGATGGCGCTTTAAAGCAAATCTACTATATATTTATGGAAGTATGTATGTATGTATGCACCAGGTTGCAGCCTGAACGGAGGTACAGAATCGAATAAAATTTTGCCAAAGTATTGCCATGACTCCTGGACCTATAATAGGGTAAAAAAATTGAAACTCGCCAAGGGGGGGGGGGGGGATGAGGGATACCTCCCATAGTGAAAATTTTTAATCAGCTCTAACTTCGGAATTATAGTCACATGAACTCGAAATTTGAAATGCACAGATACCTATGGTAGGTGCTTATGGAAAGATATACATATGTATATAAATGAGTTTGTAAAAAGGGGCGTGGCACATCTTATAGGTGTGGAATCTTTTATCAGCTATAATAGCAGGCAGTATTAGTGATCTCATTGTATTGCATTTTGAAGATTTGTTATAATTGATCAAAGTTAAATTCAAATAAATTATAGATGATATGAAGTTCACCGGGTCATCTTCTAGTCTTTAATATATACTAAGTTAATATACGGATTAATATTTACTAAAGTGTTACGAACGTTATTTTTTTAATACAATAAGAAAAAAATAACTATAATTTAAAGGAGTGACACACAATGGCTAGAGTCGTCGCATGTGTGTATTCTTTGATATACATATATATGGGCCGTTCTTACGGTTTATATATTTTTCATCCACTCGCTTATTCCTTACCGAAAATTTTAAATAAAAATTTACCAAGTTTTAACCGCAGATACAGGACAGGTAGCAGTTTAAAATGGGTAACTGGGTAAACTTAATAAAGAAAACATATTCTCTGGCTAAATTAATAAGCCAGCCCGGATAACATAAAATCCCAAGCTTGATAAACATTTGGTGTTATAAAAGTTTTATAAAGCTCTACTTGTAATTAGGAAAAATGCCGAAAAAAAATTATAAAATTGATTGATTGATTGATAAAAATAGAGAGGGAGTTATGGCTATGACAATAGAAACTAGAAAAAAGATACCTCGTGTTGAAAGCAAAAAGGATCTAAAACCAAAAAAAATATAAATACATTGTTAATCATAAAAAAAATTATGATTCGAAAAATAATTTTAAAATATTGTAAATTTTTTTTTGGTTTTTTAAAGTTAAGGGTAAATAAACCCTTAAACTTACAGTAACGAACAAAAGTATTGGCACAGTAAATTTTGCGCAATATAGGCAAAGTATTTTTTAGAAAAATTCCAAGTATGCAGTTTAATAATCCATTCAATTTTAGTTCATCAAAGTGCAGGTTTGAAGTTGCTTGAAAATCTGAATATAAAATTGCAAATTAGTATGCAGATTTATTGAATTTTCCGAGTTTTTCACAAAGTTTACACATTTGATTTTTATGTGTTTTAGTGTAGTATGAACTATGTTTTTATAAAAAATTATCGGAAATAAATTAAAAATTTTTCTTATATGTAATGCGAAAATTTACTGTGCCAAAACATTTGTTCGACACTGTACATATAAAAAAATACATACAGTAACTTCTCCCGTTACAATAGTAAAAAATATGTAATTTGCTTTGTAGTGCAATCTTGCGGTTCTTTAAATAAAAAATAGATATCAGAAATTAATTTTTCGTATCAATAAGCTCCCAAGCACAGGTTTGTATTAAAAAAATATATCCGTAACACTTTATTAAATATTAATCTGCATATTTTATCAATTCGTCGGAATATGTTTTTATGTATGTTACCGCGTAACTTTGGACTACGTTATCCGTTTTCTATAATTCTTTTTGAAAGGAAAGGTGGTTCCTCAGAGATAGTCTCCTACTAATTGAGTGTAGATCCGATAATTGGGCCATGAAGAAAATAACGGTATTTTTAAATTTGTATATGAGAATTGAAGTCGGTTTTGTTTTTTTTGTTCAAATTTTACTCCAGTGTCCACAGCTTCTATAAAAGAGTCGTAGGCCATATTTTTTTGTTAGTTCAATTGTGGAACATTTGTATGAACTTCTTCGGCTAATACTTCGGCTTTTGTTCTCTTTTTATATCGAGGCTGAGTGCATTGTTCGATGGGGTGATATCATTGCCAAACATAATAGTACTTTGTTTGCCATCAGTTAACACTATCTTGACGGAGTTACAGTATTCCACATTGATGCGAGCCTCAAAAGTTTTGAATAATATTTGCGAGTATGGCTTTTAGTTTTTACCGCTCAGGTAGGTGGCAGGCCTATAGAAAATATTTCTTAATCAATAATTTTTCAAATACTTTTCGCTCGACACCTATATTATAATACATACTTTATCTTATTAACTTAATTGAATTAAATTTTCGAAATTGGTGGCAACTCGACTCAAAAATATTTTCAGTAGTAAGCCTTCTTAAAGCCTTTTAATTTGATACCCATATTGCAATATTTAATTTATCTTATCAATTTTATTTAACTAAATTTTGAAACAGGTGGCAACCCTCCTCAAAAATATTTTTGCCTGTAAGCCTTCATAACCTCTTTCTTTTGACACCCATATTGCAATATCTAATTTATGTAATTAATTTACTTATATTGGGATTTTGACAGGTGGCAACTCTCTATTTTTTCTGGTTTTAACAATCCGGATATTATAAAAAACAAACCAAAAAAAATAAAAATATTCAAATCGGTCAAGCTGTTTTCAAGTCTTAGCGAGGCTAACGGACAGCAATCCAATTTTATATATAAGATATCTTCTTTTAAAAATGCGCAGGCTCGAAATTGACTTTAGAGCTATGGTCTGGAGGAATTTTTTTCTTAGAATTTTATGAAGAATCCGAATATGCTAGGAACAATGTCGAAAAAAATCGATCCATACAAATTGACCCGCCCTAATGTATGTACATACCGATTTTTTAGTAAAATCTAAATACCTAAATACATACATACATACATATGTATGTATAAAAACTGATTTATAAAAATATTAATTACATAGTTTTGATCTTTTAAGACGTTTACTGTTTTCAATTTAATATAAATAAGTATGTACTTATCTAGGCATTCAACATTAGTTTCTCTGTTAGGCATTCTTTGCTCGCTTCTCTGGATTCTGTTTATCCATGCGTTCTCTCTTCGTTTGAAGGTAGTGCTGCGGGTAAGGGCTTACCGCCAATGACATGCCCATGTTAAAATAAGGCCTTCTTGAAGCGAAAGGGTAAGCGATTCCCATCGCCTAGCTCGTTTCCACTTTCGTTTCTGTGGTAATCCGGTTTTTTGCTGGGTTGTTTTTGTTATTTTATGGCCTTATAACAATTATATTTTTTTAAGTAAATGTATATGAATATAAATAGTTTGTGATGAGTAGCGAAGGTTGCCCGTCCAAATTATTAAGAAAAGTTATCTTACGTAAAGTGAAGATAATCGAGATGTCTTTTGAATCCTTTCATAGAATATTTTTATTTCAAATCACTTGGTTATAATGACAGAATGGGAATTTGAAGAAAAATGTGATTAACATCGCCTTCAGGGTTAAACCTTAACCAAGCTCACCATGTAATAAGAAATACTTTTCGCAGCTACATACATTTAATTCCAATACGGATCCTAAACAATCTGTTAGTGGTGAAATGATAAATGCACTGAGAACTATAGCCAAGGTGATGTTTCTTGAATACTCATCGATGTCAGCGCCCTTCTCCAGATTGGGGTCTTTGTCCAAAGTCAATTCGCTGATAGGTTCTTTTAATACAAAGCGATGAATTAAAGCTCGTACAATCTAAAAGGTTAAAAGCTTGGGTATTGGTGAATGGTTTGTTAAAATTGGAGTAACCAACCTCTCGAGAAACAAAGCACTCTATGGGGAATGTCAATAAAATTGAAACGGAGAAAAGCACTCGCGAAAAATTCATTAGATCATCATTCCAGCAGTAGTTCTCCAATAAATCTCCTGAAAGTGAAAAGAAACAAAAGCGCAGTTCGCGATTAGCTTGTTTTATAATTATTAATTGAAATTAATTTTATCTTAATAAATTTAATCTAGATAGACTCTGGCAACCTCAAAACTCTCGCAATGTGCCCTTTAAATTTTGTACGAAAAATGTTTCGAAAACAATACCTACGATCAGTGTTGCATTTTGGTACTTTTGGAGCTAGATTTAGCTCTTTATTTTTCTATTTAGCTCCGAAAATTGGGCTTTAGCTCCTAGCTCTTTCTTTATTTCTTTTCAAAATTATGTAGCAATTTTTTAGCTCCAGAAAGTTTTAATCGTATATTAAAATCAAATTAACCACCTCTTTGAGGTAAAATTTTCGAGTGACGAAAGCTGAACTAGAAACGCAAAATTTATGATATCAATTTCGAGACGAAAATTATACGCATTTTTTAACTGACTTTGAAACGTAAAGAAAATCTTTTTTATTCATAAGAATCGTTGCAAAAGTTCTGTTTTTATACCCGAGCGCACTTGTGCACAAGGGTATTATAACTTTGTTCACATAACGGTTGTTTGTAACAGGCAAAACGAATCGAGATAGATATAGACAAATGTCCGTCCGTCCGTCTGTGCACACGATAACTCGAGTAAAAATTGAGATATCTTAACGAAACTTGGTACGTGAACCTCTTTTGGGCGTAGGACGGACGGTATTGAAAATGGGCGAAATCGGACAATAACCACGCCTACCTCCCATATAACGGTAATTTTAAGAAATACGAAAACTGCGATATTTTAGTAACTACTGAAGATAATTCACTTAAAATTGATACTTACAATGAGTTTCAGACGGAAAACATGAATATTATAAATTTTTGGAAAATGAGCGTAGCCACGCCCACTTATGGTTACATGTGTATATCTTGGTAACCGCTGCACCAATTTCTTCCAAACTTGGCACAGTTGTTGGCCTTAGCACAGCATACTAAATGGCGGAAAAGTTTAAAAATCGGGCAATAACCACGCCTACCTCCCATATAACGGTAACTTTCAGAAAAACGAAAACTGCGATATTTTAGTAACTACTGAAGATAATTTACTCAAAATTGATATTTGCAATGAGTTTTTGACGAAAAATAAGAATATTACAAAATTTTGGCAAATGGGCGTAGCCACGCCCACTTATGGTTACATGTGTATATCTTGGTAACCGCTACACCAATTTCTTCCAAACTTGGCACAGTTGTTGGTCCTGGTACAGCATACCAAATGGCCGAAAATTTCTAAAATCGGACAATAACCACGCCCACATCCCATATAACGGTAATTTCGAGAAATACAAAATCTTCGATAAATCAGTAAATATTGAAGCTAATCTATTCAAAATTGATGGTTGCAACAATTCTTTACCAAGAAATACGTTTATGACAAAATTTTGGAAAATGAGCGTAGCACCGCCCACTTGTGATCACATATATGTATCTCGCTAACCGTTCTAGCAATTTGTACCAAGCTCGGTATGGTTATTGTGCTTGCCACATAAAAGCAAACCGTTGAAAATTGTTGAAATCGGACGAAAATTGAGGCCGCTTTTCATATAACGGTAAATTTCAGAAATGCTTGAAATTTCAATATTTCAAAATTTAATGACGCTAATTTACTTAAAATGTATACACCCCGGCTTATCATGTAGCGGTAGCTTTCGGAATGGAGGAAAACATATATTTAATACTTGCGCCGGGTATTTAATGTTCGGCTCCGCCCGAACTTAGACTTTCTTACTTGTTTATTTTGTGTTTCTAGCAGTATACGGAATTTCGCAACGTTCCGAATAAATAAAAGATTTGCCGTACGTTTCAAAGGCAGTTAAAAAATCAAATCTCGTGTATATATAAGTGAGTCATTTCAGCATGCTACTGTGGCTATTTTCGTCACTCGCGCGCACTGCCATACGCTGTGATTAAAAATCTATAATTTCCTTGTAGAAGTGTTGACTAAAATTTATCTTCATGCTATTCTATTTCGATTAATACTTAGAAAAGTTCCATTCCACTGCGCGCAAGCAAATGGAAAATGGGCAAGTAAGTCAATTGTTTCCGCAATGTACGCGGGAGCACACAAACTATGCCGGACAGTAATTCGAGCTAGTGGTGGAAAACTATCGATAGTATCGATGGGACATCACAGTCGCAATTATCGATGGCGACCACTATCGACCATATTTGAAGTTGGATACTATCGAGGAATTGCCATATCTATGTATGATTTTTATATACCATATCTATCTTGAAACGCATTTATGTGAATATTTTTATAATGCTCGTGCGGATAGTGTAACGAAATATGGACAAATATCTAACTCACAATTTAAAAGGTAACGTGTTTGTTATAGATATGTTTATATTGTATGTGTTTCATTATATGTATGTAATGACTTTTACAGAAAACAATGCAAATGTAGAATGCTTGTGTTCCTCCGAAAGTGAAGAAGAAAGTGGCGGAAAAAGAGCAAAACCCAAAATATCTTCGTTATAGTAATTCTATATTCTTTACATAAAACATTATTAACATACTTTTGTGTTGTATATTTGTGTGTTTGTGTTGTTGTTAGGTATTAAATTTTATAGTCCATCAAATTTTAGTATAATAAACAGTCACGCATTTTCTTCTATCGTTTTTATATAGAAGAAAATGCGTGATATTTTTAGCAAAAAATTTACAAAAAATCAACGAAATTCTTTAGCAACTTGAAACCTGCAATTTATTAAATTATTTATTATTTAAATAGATGAATTCATACAACCTTCAAACGTAATTTTTACATGTCTTTTCGATGCATTCAAATAAAAAAAAAAAAATCAGCCACACTATCGAGACTATCGACGGCAGCGCACTATCGAGACTATCGATGGCTATCGGAAAAAATGACTATCGGCACAATCGATAGTGACCCAAAAAACGATCATCAACTATCGATGGTGTCCACTATCGATAGCTTGCGACCACTAATTCGAGCTCCAATAAGTTCAGACAGTGTACTCTTTTTGAGGCGGCCACGGTAGAAAAGGAAAACCAAAACGTTGATAAAATTATAAATTTTGAAATGTAGTGGAAAAACGTACATTTATATGCACGGGAAAATACACACTCTTTCAAAAACGATTGGATCTAGGTTAAAGAATTAAAAAATTAATTAGAAGAAAATCCTTTTTCTCAACATTCGCAACTTTTCAGAAAAATGTTGCGAAAAAATGATTCGTAACCCAAGTTTTCATGGTCAATTCAAATATCTGAAATTGCAAATTTTAACAGTTTGTAAAGTGTTTTTAGTTCATTGTCTAGTGTCATATACGTGTTATAACTGCCACATAAATAAATTCTTAATACATATGTTCCCCTTATTTTGGTTTTATACGTTTTTTCAGCACTTAAATTTATAAATTCGTTGCTTTTATTAAAATTGCGGAAAATGTAAAAACAACTTTACGTCAATGAATGCTCAAGTAAAAAAAAATTAGCTCCTCATTTTAGCTATTATTACTAGTGTTTAGCTCTTTTTGGCTCTTTGTTTCGACCGTTTCAGCTCCAAACGAAATTTTTTTCTAGCAACACTGCTTACAATCCAAGAGCTGGTGTGAAAAAGTGCAAGAGTTTGTTCTTATGTTGCGCTGCATAAAAGTGTTGGAAATATACACAGAGCTTGCGTACCGGGACACCTGGCGCTGGGACGCTTGCTCATGAACTGTGTTGCCAGGACCTCAAAATAAAAAAAGCTAGATCGGCCAAATAAAAAAGTTAAAAAAAGCTAAATGGTCCAAAATGAAAGGTTAAAAAGGCCAGCCTTTTCAACATTTCATTAACTCTGATGTACAAAAAGGTGATACAAATGCACCACCGACCAACAAAAATGTCAATACATCGACAATAAAAGTACTTGCGATCATGAAATTCGTGAAATTTTTCTAATATAACCACTTTAATAATAAAGGGAACTCTTTTTTAAGTTCTGAAAAACCATAGTCCTTCAAAGCAAAGTAGTAGTATATTTGTACCATCAAATATCTTCATACATATATTAACGGGTGATTTTTTTGAGGTTAGGATTTTCATGCATTAGTATTTGACAGATCACGTGGGATTTCAGACATGGTGTCAAAGAGAAAGATGCTCAGTATGCTTTGAAATTTCATCATGAATAGACTTACTAACGAGCAACGCTTGCAAATCATTGAATTTTATTACCAAAATCAGTGTTCGGTTCGAAATGTGTTTCGCGC